CATGTCTTGGCTATTGTAAATAGTGCTGCTATGAACATTGGAGTGCAGGTGTCATTGTGAAGTAGGGTTCCTTCTGGATATATGCCTAGGAGCGGGATTACTGGGTCATATGGTAAGTCTATTCCTGGTCTTTTGAGGAATCTCCATACTGTTTTTACATTTTTAAATTTTCACTTTTTTGTATACTTTATTTGAATTACTTGTGTATTTAAGTATAATGGTATAAATTTAGTGTTAACATTTAGATATTGCCTATATCTTTTACCTTTCATAATCCCAACATTGAATATGGCTTCACTTAATGGTAGAGGAGGTTTTTATTTTATTTTGGTGGTGGGGGAGGTCCTAGGCCTGTGCATGTATGTTGTCCAGAGATGGGACAGGGAGAAAGAAGGACTACCAGAGAACTGCTGAGAAAGAAAGGAAGATTTGGGTCCAGGGCTCCAAGTTTTGCTAGAAAAGTTGCCCCTACCCCCATTTTTTTTTCAACTCTTGGTTGGGTGGTAACAAAGAGCATGCTCAATCTCTAACAATAGATAAGTTGGGTGTCAAAATCTAAAATACCATTTTCTTTTTTTTTTTTTTTTTGGTAGACCAGTAATTTCTTTTTATCTTGTCTCTAAGTCAGTAGTGAAATACATCAAAATAAATGTTACTAGTTTATAAATATTTTAAATAGAAATTTGGTTTTTAGAGATCTGCCATGAAATTATAATAAGTTAAATTTTTTAGAATTCTTAGTAAATATTTTTGATTTCAGCTTTGATTTCCTCATTGATCCATTGTTTTTTCAATAACATATTGTTTAATCTCCATGCTTTTCTTTTTTTCTCCTTTGTTTCTCTGTTGTTGATTTCCAGTTTCATGGCATTGTGGTCAGTAAAGATGCTTGAGATAATTTCTATCTTCTTAAATTTGTTGAGCTTTCTTTTGTGCCCAAGTACATGATCGATCCTGGAAAATGTTCCATGCGCACTTGAAAAGAATGTATATTCTATTTTTGGGGGGTGTAATGCTCTGAAAATATCCACCAAATCTAGTTTTTCTATTGTAGTATTTAATTTCTCTGTTGCCTTGTTTATTTTGAGTCTGGAAGATCTGTCTAGTGATGTTAATGCAGTGTTAAAATCTCCAACTATGATTGTATTCCCATCAATATCGCCCTTTATCTCTGTTAGTAATTCTTGTATGTACTTAGGTGCTCCTATATTGGGTGCATATATATTAACGAGTGTAATATCTTCGTCTTGTATCACTCCTTTAATCATTATAAAATGTCCTTCTTTATCTTTCTTTATGGCCTTTGTTTTAAAGTCTATTTTGTCTGAAATCAGTACTGCAACACCTGCTTTTTTGGCTTTTCCATTTGCATGGAATATCCTTTTCCATCCTTTCACTCTCAATCTATATGTGTCCTTCTCCCTAAAGTGGGTCTCTTGTATGCAGCATATTGAAGGTTCTTGCTTTATTATCCAGTCTGCAACCCTATGTCTTTTGACTGGAGCATTTAGTCCATTAACATTTACAGTAATTAATGATAGATGTGTGTTTATTGCCATTTTGAACTTATCTTTGCAGTTGAATTGGTATATCCTCTTTGTTCCCTTCTTCTTCCTTTTGTGGTTTGGTAATTTTCCTTTGTATTATCATGGATTTTATTTAATTTTTGTGACTCCCTTGTAAATGTTTGACTTGTGGTTACCCTTTTTTGTAAATCTATTAACCTATACCCGTTTTTATTAAACTGATAATAACATGATCTCAAACCCATCCTACTGTTAAAAGAATTTAAAAAAGAAAGAAAAAAAATTCTATATTTCCCTGCCTCCCTCTCCCACTCTCAGTGATTTGTATGTCTTCTTTTATAATTTTGTGTTTTCTTTATTTGTAATTTATGAGTTATCACCTTTCCAGTTGTACGTTTCTCATTTCTGTAGCATCCTGCTGCTTTTCTATTTAGAATAGCCCTTTCAATATTTCTTTTAGCATGGGTTTAGTGTGCCAAACTCTGCAGCTTTTTTTTTGTCTGTGAAACTCTTTATTTCTCCTTCTATCCTAAAGGATAGCCTTGCTGGATAAAGTACCCTAGGCTGCATCTTTTTTTCATTCAGGGCTTTGAATATATCTTACCACTCCCTTCTGGCCTGTAGTGTTTGTGTAGAGAAATCAGCTGAGAGCCTTATGGGGGTTCCCTTGTAACTCACTCTTTGCTTTTCTCTTATTGCCTTTAGAATCATTTCTTTATCCTTGACTCTGGCCATCTTGATTATGATATGTCTTGGTGTGGGTCTATTTGGGTTCTTCCTGTTTGGGACCCTCTGAGCTTCCTGTACTTGAATATCTGATTCCTTCTTTAAGTTTGGGAAGTTTTCAGTCATGATTTCTTCAAAAAACCTTTTCAATCCCCTTTGATCCTTCTTCCCCTTCTGGGGCCCCTATAATGCAAAGATTGGGATGCTTTATATTATCCCATAGGTCCCTTATGCTATTATCATTATTTTTTATTTGCTTATCTTGTAGTTCTTCTGAATGGGTGCTTTCTGTTGCCCTGTCTTCTAGATCACTAATTCGTTCCTCTGCATTAACTAGTAGACTTTGCACAGCTATTAGATCATTCCTCATCTCTGTCAATGAGTTTACCCATTCTGCTTGGCTCTTCTTTATAGCTTCAATTTCATTTTTGACATATTTTATTTCTCTAAGCACTATCTCTTTTAATTCCTTCAGCAATTTGATCACTCCTTTTTTGAAATCTTGATCTAGTAGGCTATTAATGTCTATTTCATTGAGCTTTCTTTCAGGGGATTCCTCTTGTTCTTTTAATTGGGAAAGGTTTCTCTGCTTCTTCATCTTGCTCATACCTCTCTGTCACTGTGGTTTATGGAGTATCAGTTGTCTATTTTGGATCTTAAGGATTTTATCTATCTAATGCCTATTTATGAATAGAACTTAGGAAAAAAAAGAAAAAATAAGAGAGAGAGAGAAAGAAAGATTTTTAAAAGAAGGGAGAAAGAGGGTTTGAAAACAGTGTATAATGAATAATAGAAGAGCGGGTTGAAGCAGAGTATTAACCGGGTGGAGACGTCCTTTTAAAACCTTTAAAAAAAAAGGGGGGGTGGGGAGATGAATATATGTGTTTGAAGCCTGTGTCTAATCAATAACAGGACATCAAAACCCAAGAGAAATAGAAATGAATTAAGAAGTAAAAATTAAGAGAGTAATTGAAAATAGAACAGGTAAAAACAGATTTAAGAACAAAACAAAAAACAAACAAAAACAAAACAAAACAAAAAAAAGGGGTTGTCGTTGTTCTCCTGGAGTCTGTGTGCTTTTAATGTGAAGTCCTTCTGTCTTCGACCTGTTTTGGAAGCTCAGCTTGTTTTCAAAAGCCCTCCGTTGGCGCCCTCTTCTGTGCTGCTCCCAGAACCTGTCGGCAAGCAGATCGCGCCTCCTCCTAACACGGGGTCAGATGCAGCTCTCCTCTGCTGTGGGCAGGCGGGTCACTGCCCCTCCGGATGCCGCAGTCAGATGTCGCAGACTGGCCAGGCAGGAGGGCGGGTCGCGCCCCCTCCCAGCACCTCGGTCAGGGGCTGTGTTCCTGCCCGACAGGCATGGGGGCCGCTCTCCCTCTGCCTGCGCCGCCGGGAGCTCCGCTGCTCTGTGTGGCTGCGCGCTCCGCGGGTGGGCTCGGGGAAGACCGAGGGGCAGCCTCGTCCCTGCTCCGAGCCAAGACTCAACTGCTTGTTTGTCTTTGTGGAGCAAGTTCTCCGAGGGACCAGGATGGAAGGATCCCACCTGCCCCGGGCTGTAGGCCCGTCTCAGTCTGGCCCTTGAGGCTGCTGAGCCCTTCGGTGCGGATGCAGGTTTCGCCCCTGCCCCAGCCCGGGTGCTAAGCGCCGGAGAATATGGCGGCTCTGCCTGGGCCCCGCCTCTCTTCCCCTGAAAAGTTTCCGTGGGTTTTCAGAGATGGGGGTATACACCCTTCCCCCGAGAGTACATCAACCTTGCTGTTGTTCTGTCCTGTACACCCACAGCCATGGCGCCCAGCCCCTTGCAGTCCCCCGGAGCTGCCTCTGTGCAGCCACCCCCGTCCTCCACCCGGCTTGTGCAGCCTGACCCTGCCCGCCGCTGCCGGCCCGCGTCTCAGGCTGGGTGTCGGAGGGACGCTCTATGCCCGTTTAACTTAGTTCTGTCAGACAAGGGCTGCTCTGTACAGATCCGAGCCTTGGAGGCTCCCCCTCCGTCCCGCTGGCCTCTCAGCTGGAGAGGGGAGACCCAGCAAGCGAGCGCCAGTCCTCCTTTGCCGCTCCCTTCCCATGGGACCCGTCCAGCGCTGCTTTGCCTTTTGTTCTTTCTTTTTTCCTTTTCTCCTACCAGATTTTTGGCGTCTTTTATCTTTTGAAGAGGGTGATGATCTGTTGGAGTTCCGCAGGTGCTCTGGTTGGCTGAGTGGGTCTGTAGATGTGGGTCTTGGTGTATTTGTGGGAGAGGGTGACTTACAAGCATCCTTCTACTTCGCCATCTTGCCTCTTCTCTCTAAAATACCATTTTCCAAGCAGAATTTTAAAGCATATGGTCACAAAAAAGTTAGCACTGATTATTCCTGAGGAGTAGGATTAAAGGAACTTGAGGAGGGTCTAGGAAAGAGCAATTTTTGCTTTTCCTTTTGTAATTTTAGGAGAACTTTTTAAATAAAATGCTTTGAATGCTGTAAATGTGTGTTTAGTCTTATTTATGCCTCATAAATAGTTTTTTAGAAACTCATACATTCAAATTTTATTATATTTATTTAATATTTACAGCTTATATTATTCATCTTTTTTTTGTTTTTTTGGAGAGGGAGGCAATTGTTTTTTTATTTATTTACTTGGTGGAGGTACTGGGGATTGAACCCAGGACCTTGTGCATGCTAGGCATGCACTCTACCACTGAGCTATACCCTGTCCCCTTACAGTTAGTATTATTTATTTAACATTTCTATTATCTTCTCTTATTTTCAGAACTGATGGCAGAGGCTAGCCTAATGGACCAGATGAGTAGTTGCGATAGTTCATCAGATTCCAAAAGTTCATCATCATCAAGCAGTGAGGATAGTTCCAGTGATTCAGAAGATGAAGAGTGCAAATCCTCTCCTTCTGATCCAGGGAATTATATCTCAGGACATCCTACCATGTCTGCCATGCCACAGTGCAGGATTCCTGAGATAGATGCCAGTCATAATAAATATGACAACAGTGGCCTTCTGATGAATACTTTAAGTAAGTATACGTAAGCGTGAGTAACTGGAAAATTAAGAATTCACAGTGGAGCCATTATGGTCTAAAAACTGGATAAAAAGAAAGACTTCTTTTTTATTCATTTGACAAGATTAACCATTACCTTCTTATTGAATTATTCATTTTTTTTACTCTGTGGCATAACGCCTTATTGGTGTTTCTCCTATCTTTCTAGATACTTTTGTGTCTCTTCTTTGCTGGTGTATAATCTTCAACTCGGTCATTGGAGCTGGGGTTCCTCAAGGTGTAATCCTAGGTCCTTGTTTCTTTTTATTCGGTTTTCTTTCCCCAGATGATCTTCATACTTCTATTTTGGTCAATACTTATGTGTAAATAACTTGTAAATTTGCGTCTATGACCAGACTTCTGACCTCTAGGCACATAAACCCAACATTATCTCATATTAAAAGACATTTCAAATTCACTTTGTCCAAAACCATTTTATAATCTTTGACTGTGTTTCCTTCTAGTGAAAGGCAGAATTCATCTAATTATGCAAACCAGAAGCCTGATTGTATCCAAGGGTTGACTTCATCTCCCTTTATACAGTTTAGTCAATTTTTCACCAAGTCTTATTTATTTTACCTCCTTAATCTCAAATTCATCTACTTCTGTGCATCTCAACTACTGTCACTCTAGTTAAACCTACTATTATTTTTTGCTTTAAACTATGCAGTGACTTCTTAACCAGTTCACCCCTTAACAGTTCAAACCCATTTTTGATCACTAAGTACATTGCAGCCATGTCAAATGTATTTTGCATAATTCAAATATATTTTGACTCTCCTACTTTATGCTTTTCAGTAGCTTATAATTTCTTTTAGGATAGAAACAAAACATTTTAACATTATGGTCTTGCTCCTTTTGTTATAGCAACATTTGCCTTCTTTTTGTCACCATTCTCAAATACTTTCACCTACCCCAGGGCCTTTACATGTACTGTCCATTCAGCCAGAAGCACTTTCTTCTTTTCATGTGTTAACTTTTTCTCCTTAAGATTACAGTTTAAGGTTTACTTTATCAACAAAGACTTTCTTGATCTTTTTGACAAGGTCAAATCCCTCTTGTTATAGACCTTCAGAGAATGTCTTCTTTATATCAGTTGTCACAATTATACATTTATATTTGTGTGATTTGCTTTCTTCTAAAGTATAAGTTCTGGAAGGACAGTGATCTTGTTTATGTTTGCTTATCATTGAATACTAGTACTAACACCTAGGACAGTACCTGATATATAGTAGATGCTCCATAAATTCTTTTTAATGAAGGCGTGCAGGTTGATACTCTGGGGGAGAATGGGACTTTCTGTTTGTTTAAAACCAATTTCACTATGTTAATTAATAATGATAAAGTGAGCAGCTGGAAAGACTGACTAGCTGTAGCCTAATAACAGAACTAAACAAGGGAGGATCCACAAATGGGTGGTAGAGAGTTAGTATAAAACTATGAGTTAATTATGGACCAGGAGAGGTCTTTTGAGCTTCTAGTTATTTGTCTTTAGTGCTATTATCCCTAACTTGAGAGGTGAAATTTTAGCATCTGATTTCTTGAATGGCCAAATGACAAAAGTTCAATTTACCAGAGGGATAAACAGTTATGAATCTGTATGCCCATAATAATACACCTTCATAATCTATGTACATATATTAAAGTATGTAGTTACATATGTGTGTATACTTAAAACAAAATTTGACAGAAATAGGAGAAACTGACAAATCTATCATAATAGTAGATTTAATGTATCTCTGATCAAGCAGACAGAATTTAGTAAGGGTATAAAATCTTCAAACAACATAATTAACATGCCCATTCTAATAGTAAATACACAGAATCTTACAGTCTAAAAAGGAAAACTAGGCATTCTTTTAAGAATATAAATATAAAGCATTTATAGAAATTACTTTCCATTAGAACAAAGGAAATGACACATTTAAAAGAATTCATATTTTATCGATCATATCATACAACTATAATACAATGAAAATAAAAATAAATATCAAAAATAATTTAAAATACATGCTTAGAAACTCTGTCAGAGCACATAGACTTAGTGACTTACATGTTAAAAGGAAATTATAATGAAATTATAAAATATTTATAAGTAAGCAGTATCAGAAATATCTCAGCAGTTTGGGGGTACAACTAAATGGTGCTTATAGGGAAATTTATAGCCTCAAAATGTTCTCTTTTTAAAAAAATTGAAAATAAATGAGTGAAAGGTTCACCTTGAGGAACTAGAAGAAGATTAACACCTTAAAGCAGAGAAAGAAATTATATAGATTAGAATTGAAACTAGTGTAATAGATAACAAAGAAACATTAGAGGATCTACAAAACTAAAAATTACTTTTTTGAAAACTAATAAAAAGACCAACCTCTAACAAGGGCCGATGGAAAAAAGAAAGAAAAGAACACGAACAATATTAGGATGAGAAAGTGGTTAAAATTATAGCTACAATATGTTTTTATTTTTTAATTATGAGAACTTAAAAAATTTTTTATCCCAGTAAATTTGGCACAAAAATGGATTATTTTCTAGAAAAAAATATAACTTAACCAAATACAACTCAAAAAGAAATGGAAAGCCTGAAGAAACCAGTAGCAATTAATGTCTATTCCTCCTTCACCTTATCTCCATATCCCCAAGATGCTGGAAAACTGAAGATAATTTTATAGATAAATTTTAACAAATCTTCGAGGAACAGTAATTCTTCTATCTACAAACTGCTTCAGAGAATAGAAAAGTAGAGGAAGCAACCCAATTCTTTTATAATTCTAGGAATCCCAATATCAAAACTGAACAAGAACAAGACAAAAAGCATTTTAGACCAATTTCATTTAAGAACATGGATGTAAAATTACTAAGTAAGATATTAACAAATTAAATAACCAGTGTACTTAAAACAAGCAAGCTAAATCATGATCAAATAAAGTTTATCACAGAAATGTAAAAACTGCAATATCTGAAATATCAATGTAAACAACCACGTTAACAGATTATAGGAATAAAGCCACCATTTCAACAAATTTGACTTTGACAAAAGTTAATATTTATTGTTTTTAAAACTTTTACTGAAGGTTGACTATAAGGGAATTTTCTTAACTTGATAAAAGTTAACTATAAAAACCAAAACTACTGACAACATTATGCTAATAGAAACTCTAGAAGCATTTCGATTAAAGTCAGGAAGAAGACAAGAAGGACTAATATCACGATTTCTGTTCAGTGTTGTACTGAAGTTTCTAGCAAATACAATAAAACGAGTAAGAGAAATGAAATATAAGAATTAGAAACAAGAAATAAAATGATCCTTATTTGTAGACAATGTAATTGTCTATATAGAAAATTAAAGGGAATCAATAAACAATAGAAATAAAAGAATTTAGAAATATTTTGGATATAATAATGATATGGTAAAAAAGAATAAAATAATGCCATTTGCAACAACATGGATAGACCTGGAGAATGTCATTCTAAGTGAAATAAGCCAGAAAGAGAAAGAAAAATACCATGTGATTATCACTCATATGTGGAATCTAAAAAAAAAAACAAACACACACACACACACACAAATGAACTTACTTACAAAACAGAAACAGACTCACAGACAGAAAACGAATTTATGGTTACCAGGGAGAAAAGAGAGTAGGAAGGGATAAATTGGGAGTTTAAGATTTGCAGATACTAACTACTATGTATAAAATAGATAAACAAGTTTCTTCTGTATAGCACAGGGAACTACATTCAATATCTTGTAGTAACCTATAGTGAAAAAGAATATGAAAAAGAATATATGTATGTATATGTATGACTGAAACATTATGCTGTACACTAGAAATTGACACAACATTGTAAACTCACTACTACATTAAAAAAAATCCAAAGAAAGAACATCTTCCCTTTCTAAACATAGGCATATTTTAAAAAATGATATGGAAAAATTAGCAGTGATCTTGTTATACCAGTAATAACCACTTAGGATTTCTTTTTAAAAATTAGTAAATTTCTTTTCCTGATACATTTTATCCAAACTGTAAGTTTCCTAATAAGAGGAAATAAATTCCTTTTTCTTTTTTTTACTGTTACTGCAGTCATCTCATTTCTCAACCTTTTCAGACTCAGCATTCTCTTTAATAACATACTATGTTATATTATTACTATGTTGAAATGAATTTCATAGCTAAGTATCATCTAGGCACATACATCTTTGATAATAATTAATATAATAAGACAAAATAAAAATAGTATATATTCTACTTTGAAAATGTTCAGGTATGACCAGAAGACCTAACAAAGTGCCAGAAAATTGCACTTACTTTTAATGAATAAATTTGAAACTAAGAGAAGCAAGACAGCATTCAACTCATATGTCGATAATTTTTCTTTTTATTTAACTTGTTAAAATAAGGACTGGAAAAGTATGTACATATATATTCATAGAATTGCATACGCAGAGAAGTGTTGAGGTACTATACTGCTGATCCAAATACAATGAGCAGCATTGATGTCACTGATGTTTTCAAAAATGATTAAAAAAAGAAAATCCTTGTAAAGTTCTAAAAAAAAAAGGCAAAGTCTTTCAGTTTACATGATAGTTGCATCCTTGTAAGTTTCAGAGAATTTTAAATCTGTGTAAAGGAATACGTTTTAAAAACACCTCTGTTGTGGTATAATTCTTGTACAGTAAGCTACACATATTTCAGATATACAATTTGATGAATTTTGATAGGTGTATACACATATGAAACTACCACCACAATCAAGATAGCTAACATTTCCATCACTCCCCAAGAGGTGCAAATTTTGAACTCCTGATTTATCCCTTCCCACCCCCTTTACCCACTGGTAACCATAAGTTTGTTCTCTATGTTTGTGAGTCTGTTTCTGTTTTGTACATAAGTTCATTTTTGTCCTTTTTTTCGATTCTACATATAAGCCATATCATATGGTGTTTTTCTTTCTCTTTCTGGTTTGCTTCACTTAGAATGACAATCTCCAGGTCCATCCATTGTGCTGCAAATGGCATTATTTCATTATTTTTATGGCTGAGTAGTATTCCATTGTGTATATATACCACATCTTCTTTATCCAGTCATCTCTCAATGGACTTTTAGATTGTTTCCTTGTGTTGGCTATTGTATACAGTGCTGCTGTGAACTTTGGGGTGCATGTGTCTTTTCGAATTATATTTTCCTCTGGATATATGCCGAGGAGTGGGATTGCTGGATCATATAGTAAGTTTATTTTTAGTTTTTTAAGGAAATTCCATACTGTCCTCCATAGTGGCTGCACCGACTTACATTCTCATCAACAATGTAGGAGGGTTCCTTTGTCTCCACACCCTCTCCAGCATTTATCATTTGTGAACTTTTTAATGTTGGCCATTCTGACTGGTGTGAGGTGATATCTCATTGTAGTTTTGGTTTGCATTTCTCTGACAATTAGTGATGCTGAGTATCTTTTCATGTGCCTGTTGGTCATCTGGATATCTTCTTTGGAGAGATATCTATTTAGGTCTTCTGTTCATTTTTTTTTAATTGGATTGCTTTTTTTAAAAATATTAAGCTGTATGAGCTGTTTGTATATTTTGGAAATTAGTCCCTTGTTGGTCACATCATTTATAAATATTTTCTCCCATTCCGTAGGTTGTCTTTTCATTTTGTTGATGGTATCCTTAGCTGTGCAAAAGCTTTTAAGTTTAATTAGGTCCCATTTGTTTATTTTTGCTTTTATTTCCATTATTCTAGGAGCTGGTTCAAAAAAAATATTTCTGTGATTCATGTCAAAGAGTATTCTGCCTATGTTTTCCTCTAGGAGTTTTATAGAATCTGGTCTCACACTTAGTCTGTAATCCATTTTGAGTTTATTTTTGTGTATAGTGTTAGAGAATGTTCTAATTTCAGTCTTTTACAGGAAGCTTCCAGTTTTCCCAGCACCACTTTTTTAGCTCTAGCCTCTACCTTGAGCTTCAGACTCATATATCCAGTTGCCTGTACCATATATACTTGAATGTTTATTAGCTATTTCAAATGTACCATGTTGAAAATTGAACTTGTGATTTTTCTTACAGTCTTGTTCCTCTGGTGTTTCTCATCTCAGTGAATGATACCACCATTTATTCAGTTGTTTAGACCAGAAACCTTGGAGGTCATTCTTCACTTTTCTCTTTCTCTCATGCACTAAATCCAATACTGTTGATAGTCCTGTAAGCTCTATCTTCAAAGCAAATTATAAATTTGACCATTTAGCATTACCTTCACCTGGACCACCTGAGTCTAAGCCAATATTATTTCTTTTTCTTTTTCCCCCAGTTTTTTTGAGATATAATTGGCATACAACAGTGTATAATTTTAAGGTGTACAACTAATGTTTGACTACATCCATCATGAAATGATCACAATAGATTTAGTGAGCATCCATCATTGCATATAGATACAGCATTAAAGAAATAGAAAAAAAAATTTTTTCCTTGTGATGAGAACTCTTAGGATTTACTTCCTTTTATAACATACAGCAGTGTTAATTCTTTTCATCATATTATACATTACATCCCTAGTACTTATTTATCTTATAACTGAAAGTTTGTATCTTTTGACTACCTTCATTTGATCTCCACCCCCAACCCCCTACCTCTGGTAGCCACAAATCTGATCTTTTTTCTATGAGCTTGCTTGTTTGTTTGGTTGTGAACTATAATTGACCTATAACACTATGTTAGTTCCTGGTACACAACATAGTGATTTTATATTTCTGTATACTTCAAAATGATCACCATGATAAGTCTAGTTATAATATGTCATCAATTAAAGATATTACATAGTTATTGGCTATATTCCCTACACTGTACATTTCATACCTGTGACTCATTTCTTTTATAACTGGAAGTTTGTACTGCTTAATCTCCCTCACCTATTTCTCTCCTCACCCTACCATTCTCCCTTCTGGCACCTATTTGTTTTTTGCATTCATCACTCTGTTTCGGTTTGTTCATTTGCTTTGTTTTTTGCATTCCACATATAAGTGAAATCATACAGTGTTTGTCCATCTCAAAGCCAGTATTATTTCTTGCGTAAGAAACTGCATAGGCTCATAACTGCTCTACTTGATTCCGTGTTTCTTCCACAACATTATAGCCTATTCACTGATATGCGATAGTGTTCAATTCAGTTGCCTGCTTAAAATTTTCCAATGAATTGAATTCCCATTACATTTCAAACAAAATCTGAAGTTTTTTTTTAACCATGACCTCTACATCATGGTCTTTAGGTATTTTTCTGACCTATTTCCTACTGTTCTTTTCTCATTCATTCCACTCCAGCCACAGTGGTGTTCTTGCTGTCAGAGAACACAATAAGCATGCTTCTACCTTGGAGCATTTGTATTTTCTGTTCCTTGAGCCTGGGCAGTTTCTCCGCCTCCATATTTTCACAACTCTCTCTCAACATTTGGATCTCTGTCCAAATGTTCTATCTCAAGGAGGCCTTCCTAACTACTCTGTCTAAATAGCTCCGTCCACCACTCCCCTACACCCATCTTCATTTTTTCATAGTACTTATCCCTACTTGAGATAAATATTACATTATATATTTGTCTACTTGTTTACTATCTGTCTCCCCATTTGGACTGTAAGTTCCATGACTATAACCACATGGATATATTACAAAAGAATCAATGTGAGTTACTCTTAACATATACTACTTAATGATTTTGGCTGAAACTTTAAAAAATTATATAACTTTATTTCATTCTTCAAAATAGAATGATCTTCTAAACCACATTTTCTTCTCATTTCCTGATGTAATTAAATCAGTGGTATAAAAAAGAGGTGATGTTGGTATATGAAAAAAGATTAAAATAGATGTCAGTTAATACTAAAACTATACTGAAGATTGATGGTTTATTTTTTTCTTTATAGGCAGTATTATTTGAGTTACTAATGATGTGACTAAACTATAGGATAAGCATCTATGATTATTAAAGACAAAATACTGGCCAGTGAGGATCACTTTGGGGTTATATTTTGCATAATATCTATGTTTTCCAAAAATATTCAATATTAAAATATTGTTACAGTGTTGCTTTTTTTATTTTAGGAAATGATTTGCAGCTGAGTGAATCAGGAAGTGACAGTGATGACTGAAGAAATATTGAGCTCTAAGTATAAATTTACAAGACATGTGATAATTTATTTTATATTAAGAATAAAAATTCCTAAGACTGAGGAAAAGGTATCTTAACTTTTGATGATAAGAAATTAAATCCAGTTCAGAGTTTTTGAACTCTGGTTCAGTTAATATTGCTTTTTTTTCCTTACCTTTTATGAGTACCAGCATTTTCATTTGTTTTCATTTAATCTTAAAACTTTTATGAAGTTTAACAGATAAGAAAACAAACTCAGAGGTTAGGTAACTTGCCCACATATTGTTAGTTAACAAGTGGCAGATCAGGTGTTCTAAAGTTCAAGTTCAGTGTTCTTTTTTTTACCACACTGCTGTTTTCAATTGTGAAATGTCAAAATTGTTGATTTATAATAAATGTCCATTGTTTTAATTATATCTCTGAGCCTTTCTATCTGATGCTTCTTAAATTTTAGTTGAGAAGTAAGTTATAACTTAGGGTAAACGTGAAGCTAAGTAATTGTTTTAATGAAACACTTGTTCTCTTATCTCTCACATATTTTATCATATTCTTTTATCTCTTAGATATTTTTATTTTATTTTGCTTTTGAGGTAAAAATAAGCAGTTGTGTTAATGAGATACATAATTAATATTTATACCTATAACATTTTTGAGTTTGTAGGAAATGATAAATATTATTGTTGAAAACTACTGACCAGCAGCAAGGTCTTTTTTTTTTAAATTAAAATTTTATTTTTAAGAGCAGTTTTAGGTTCACAGCAAAACTGAGCAGAAAGTACAGAGAATCCTCATATACCCCTCTTCCCACACATGCACAACCTCCCCTACAATATAAACATCCTGCACCAGAGTGGTATGGGTTTTTTTGTTTTGTTTTGTTTTTTACAATTCATGAACCTATATTCACACACCATCACCCAAAGTCCTATACATTAGAGGTCACTCTTTGTGTTGTACATTCTGTGGGTTTTAACAAATGTATAATGACTTTTATCCACCACTGCAGTATCATACAAGATAGTTTCACTGCCCTAAAAATCCTGTACTCCGCCAATTCATTCCTCCACACCCCAGCCCCGGCAATCAGTGATCTTTTTACTATCTCCTTAGTTTTGCCTTTTCCAGAATGTCTTATAATTGGAATCATACAGTAAACAACCGTTTCATATTTGCTGCTTTCACTTAGTAATATGCACTTAAATTTCCACTGTATCTCTTTCATGGCTTGATAGTTCATTTCTTTTTAGCACTGGATAATATTACATTGTTTGGATGTATTATTGTTTATTTATCCACTAACTTACTGAAGGAATCTTGGTTGCTTCCAAGTTTTGGCAACTATGAAAAAAATTTTTATTCAACTTCACGTCTTACTATAGGAAGTTCTGTAGTTATGTTTTTTTTTTAATTCTTAAGTTTTAGTTTTAATCTCTACCACTGTCTTCTCTCTCCCTTTATCTCTCTGGCCTACCTTCAGTTATAATTTCTTTGTATTCTCACTTTAATTTATATTTATTCATCAATACCACAACTGTATTATTTATTTCTTAACTAAAGCAAGCTTGAGTATTCAAAGTGTTAGTAAAACATGCTTATCATTTTAACGGGAATACAAATTATAATAGTTCTTACTGCTGATTTCTTTTTTTAGTGTTTACTCTGCCAGAAATGAGTACATGTTGATATGAGCTGATAATGCTGAATACATAACACACATTATGTTCTCAAAGTATACCTCCTGCAGTCCTTGAGCTATTTAGATTTACAGCTTATTTGTAAAAAAAGAGACTCATAGACATGGAAAACAAACTTTTGGTTACTGGGAGGGGGAGAAGGAGGGAGAGATAAATTGGGTGTTTGGGATTGGCTGCTACAAACTAGTATTACAGAATAGCTAAACAACAAGGTCCTGCTGTATAGCACAGGGAAATATATTCAATGGCTTGTAGTAACCTGTAGTAACCTGTAGTTAATGAAAAAGAATATGTATATATATTTATGTATAACTGAATCACTATGCTGTACACCAGAAACTAACACAACATTGTAAATCAAAAAATAAAAATTAAAAAAAATTTTAATAAATGAAACATATTTCACCCATACATTTTTTAAAAGCCCAGCTCCACTCTTTCCCCCATAAATGAAACATGTTCTTAAAGATCTTTTTTATGGATTGAACACCTACTGTATCATTCTCTATACCCCTTAAGGGAAAACATAAGTAGTTTAGAGAATAATGAAATAATATCTCCTTTGCTCATGTTATCTCCTTATTTGATGCATTTTCAGATGTTGAAATGTAGGGAGCCATGGATGAGACAAGTTCTCAGATGTGAGGTTCTCTGTCAGAACCATCCTGACATGACTCTAAGCACATACCTTTTTTTCTCCCAGCTTTAATGAAATATAATTGACATATAACATTGTGTAAGTTTTAAGGTGTACAGTGTGATGATTTGAAACGTGTTTATATTATGAAATGATTATTAAAATAAGGTTAGTTAACATAAGCTCATATTCTTTCAGTTTGACCTTTCTGAGTGGTTTGATGAGACTGATGATAATATAAGCATGTAAGTAGGAAAATTAAGTTGGCTACAAAGGAACAAAAATCAGTGGGCTCTGAACTGTTCCATACCTCTAAAGTTAGTAAAGCTGCGTCTGCACAAGGATATGAGTGTGACCTATGAATTATGTATCCACAGTTTGGTAAGAAGGCATTCTTAGACATGTCAGAATTCAGGAATTATATCATTCACATACTACTCCTATAATAATTACTCCAGTAATTTCCAGTTTTTTTAAGAGATGAATCAAAATTAACAGCTCAAGAATCAAAAAAAAAACACAAAAAAATGTATTCTAAAAAGATTGAGAGCTCGCTCCTTCATGAGGACTCTCTCAATTGGTAGGAGTAGTTAACACCCATGCCCAGCAACGCTGTATGTAGAAATGACCTCTTCAGTGCTGACCAGAGGGGAAGGGCCGAGAGTTTAGCCGTACTAGTCTGAGGTTGCAGTCCTAGTGAAGGCAATGGTATTTCGGGCTCAGGATGTGTACATGTACAGCAGAGACCAAAAATGCCCCAACCTATTCACACACTCCTGCCCAACCCTGAGGCTATATAAACAGCCTGTACATTGAATGCATTCTCCTATACACTCAGATTCATCAGCAAAGGACAAAGCCTCATTGGCGCAAAGTATCTGACCATGACCTCCGCCCAATCTGTGACCACTCAGAGTAATACCTGCTACTTCACTTCTACCTCCCAAATCTCACTCAAGTTCTGATCTAGATGATTCTGGGAAGCATAATTCCTAGCTTAAACTAAGACAACAATAGCCAACCCTAAAACTGAAAACAAACCAAATGTCCATCAACAAAAAAATGGAGAAATAAATTGTGGCATATTTGTGAGTTCTACTGAACAATGGAGAAAAGAATCTTGTTACAGGCAACAACAGATGAATCTCACAGACATAATGTTAAGTAACAGAAATCAAACACAAATGTTGTAAATGGCATTATTTCATTTTTATGAAATTCGGAACAGACAAAGCAAACCTATGGTGATAGAAGTCAGAATACTGGTTACCACGAGGGAGGATAGTTTGGCTGAGAGACAGAAGGGAAGCAGCAGTTATTACTCTGAAGGGCTTCCAACACTGAGGTGCTAGAGATACATATTTATTTATATTATTACAAATATATATGTTTATTTTATTATAAATATATAATGTTATATATAATGTATTTGTTATAAATAAGTATTTACTATAAATATCTTACCTGGGTGGTGGTTGTGTGAGTTAGACATACTTAAAAATGATGGAGTTTTACACTTCAGATTTGTGCCTTTTAAAATGCACAAATGAAATCAGTAGAAAAAATATTTGCAATGTAGAGAGTGAAAAAGTGTTAATATAAAAGTAGATTTTACAAACTTATAAGAAAGGGACGAATGACTCAATAGAAAAGTGGACAAAGGAAATGAATAGGCAGTTCTAAAAATTACAGAAACATACTTTTGTCAAGCAGTCTCACTTCTGGAAATATATTCTACAGATACATTTGACATGCAAGGTTATTATTGCAGTATTATTTATAATTACAAAAGACTCAAAAATCTGAATATCGCTCTTTTTGTTATTGATTTTTGAAGTTATTTATATAGTCTGGAAACAAATCCTTTGACAGATATATGTAATATGCATATTTTCCCCCACTTTGTGAGTTATCTTTTTACTCTTAATGGTATCTTTTGATGAATGACAAAATTATTAATTTTAATAGTAATATAGCAATTGTTTTTCTTTTATGATTGCCATATATTTGAGAAATGTTGGCTTACTCCACAGTCATAAAGATGTTCTTTTATATTTTCCTCTAAAAGCCTTATTTTTGTTTAACTTTAACAGTTAGATCTGTAATCTGTATAGAACTGGTTTTTATGCATGGTGTAAGATGAGAGTAAAAATATTTTTTTCCGTATGAGTATCCAGATACTGTTTTTTAAATTGAAAACACTATCATTTCCCCAACTGCACTGCAGTGTCACTTTTGTCATAAATGATGCCTTAATATATGTGTGGGTCTTTTGCTGTGCCCTCTTCTGTTCCATTGACTGCCGTATCTATGTTTGGGTCAATTCCACTCTATTATCATTACTGTAGCTTTTCAGCAGATCTGCTACTGAGTAGTGCAAATCCTCCATTATTGTTCTTCAAGATTGCCTTTGCTATTCTTGGGTTTTTTGCACCTCCATATGAATTTTTAAAATCAACTTGTCATTTTCTACACTCACAAACCCTGTTGGATTTTGTGTTGCAACTGTAGATTGGTTTGGGAAATGCTGACATTTTTACAAGATGAGCCTTTCAAATCATGAGCATGGTATGTCTCCAATTATTTAGATCTTTAATTTATTTCAATAATGTTTTAGAGTGTTTGGTATTGATCTCTTAAACATCTTTCATTAGATTTATTCCTAGGTATCTTCAATGCTATTGTAGCTGGTATTTTTTAAATTCCCTTTTCTATTTGTTTTTGCTGGTATTTGTTATAGTTTATTTTTATGTGATTTTACATTCATACACCTTGCTAAGCACATGTTCTCTTTTAATTTCATATTTGCCTCCCCTCTCTGACTATATCAGTATCTATTGTGAATGGAAAATACTGCAAGCCATATTAGTAAACAAAGGATGCTGAAACCATCAAGTCATCAAGCTGCCACCACCCCGCTCAGTGAGCTCAGGGTGCAGACAAGCAGGCAGCCCAGCATCTGCAGCCCCCCACAGTGGTCCTCTGAGAGAACTCAGAATGTGAGAGGACCAGATACTGGCCCTAGATAGCTAGGTGCTTGTCAAAGGAATGATTTCAGTGAGCCCAGACATTTGCTCCTTCCCAT